CCGCGTAACGGTTCCTGAGATTCGGGGACAACACGGCGGGCATCGAGGCATGGGCGCGCAGTTCCCTCTAGGGACTGTCACCCCAGCCCCTGCGCCCTACCTCACCCCGGATCTACGGGAACCCAACGGAAGAGGCCACGGGAAGGCGGCGCCGCGGGCAGACTGACCTGCGAAGAGGCACGGCTTCCAGCGGCGAGGGACAGCGGGCTCCGAGAAGGGGCAGGGCCTTTAGGGAAGGCCAGACGTCAACCCGAGCGTCTCCAGAAAGTTGGACGCCCGCCCCGGACACCTGCCGCGAGCTCTGCGAGCCTTAGAGCTCACTCTGCAGTCTGGAGGCGTTGCCAGAGCTAGGGGCGCTTGGATGGCATGGGGACGGAGAAAGGTGACTCTTTTTTGCAGAGCCCCGTTGCACGTGACGCCTCGGCAAAGTCGGGGTTTCCTAACGGCGTGGGGATTTAGGTTGGGGTTGGGTGCGTGGAGGCAATCCCCCGCTCTCACGACCCCCGATGGGCTCTGACGGCGGGAGTCGCAGAGGCGTGGCCGGTTTGCACGCAGCCACTCCGGAGTGAAAACGCGCCATCCCGTTTTTAAGGTCTGTGCGGAGGGAGGAGGCAGCCGGACCTGGCGGGGCGGGGCGCGCTGGGGGCGGGGCGCTCCTGGACTGTCCACAAGCCTGCGGCTCCGCACGCAGGTGGTCACGCGAGGCGGCTCCCGTGCGCCCCGACGGCCTTGGCGAGGCAGCTGGTGACTTGATTAGCAGCGGCGGCCTGAACTTTTCGTCTGCCCGAAAACCGCTCTTAATCGCCGTCGCCCGCAATCCTGGGCAAACGGCCGCCGCGGAGGCGCGCTGCGAACGGGAGCTGCCCGTGCCCGGGAGCTGTCCGTGGGAGCGCGCCCCGAAACTCCCTTCCCTCCCAGTGACTTCGACTTAGGTCCCCAAGAGAGCACTGCTCAGGGTCCTTTGGCGCCCTAGCCGGAGAAGGAAACCTGTCAGTTTGGAAACTAGGAAAGTTCGGTTTGCCCGACAGCCTCCCTAGTTTTTTATCCTAACGTTCTCGTCAACAAAAGGCCCCCAAATGAGGCCCTGTTGCGCGCAAAGTTCTCCTTGTGCAGCGATATCAAGAACCCCCGAGAGACGCCGCTACCTTGCCCCGGGGCCCCAACTGTCCTTGGCACACAAAGGCCAGCCCTGGCGGGGCGCAGCTGGCCACGCGATTTCCCGCGTGGAAACTCCTCCAGCCGGCGCCGCCCCCTGGAGCGCGCGGGGCCGCGCAGGCCGAGT